TCCTGCTGCTTTCCTCCCACGATGTGTTTTTAGCTCTGGTGTAGCTGCCGCTGAGGCCTTTCTGGCACCAGGAAGATTGGAGTAATCGCCCCGTATATGTGCAATACTTGCCACCTACCTCTGTGCCTGCTGATAGAAGCCAGAAAGATCTTCCATTTTTTTTGCAGTGCCATCTCCCTGATTTCTTTTCAGTGATGGCCTGTAGCTCCTTTTCCCCTGCGCTAATCTGTTCTTCGTGTGTATTTGTGCCTGTGGCTTTGCTTTCCTCCGTTTTTATAAAATTTTGTCTTACTCGTCTTTGGCAATACAGCATAGTCACCTTCAAATTTAATTCCTCCCCTTCACGCCTTCTGTACACCTCCTGAATTCATATCATCAACAGATAACATATGTGTCAAAACCTTGTTTAAGTCAACTTCATCAGCTGGTTTGCTTTCTCTTCTTCATTACACTATCGAAAAAGGAAAGATACAATGAAATTTGCTCCCCATAAATCACCGCTGACTGTTTTTTAATCATCTCGATGATGTCGTGAGTGATTGTAGATTCTTGCATTGTGCTTTGCTCTGATTTCTTTCCTGGAATTGGAGCTGGGGGGGGTGTGTGTGTGCTCTAATTCCCTGGATGTTCCGCCTTGCCTTTTAAATGCTGAATTTAAATTGTCCTTGTCCAGTCTTCTGGGACCTCCTTCACCATCCAGGAACTAACAAAGATAACTACAAATGATTAGGGTTGCCCAGAACGGTTGTGGGATCTCCATCCTTGGAGGTTTTCAAGACACAGTTGGATATAGCCCTGAGCAGCATGGTGGGTCCCCATAGCTGCCCGTGCTTTGAGTGGGAGGTTGGATGAGAGACTTCTTGAGGTCCTTTCCCACCTCAGTTACTACATTTAGCTTCTCTGAACTCTCCTTACTCTGTTCCTTCTTAGGCCTCGGTAGCAATGGGGAAAAGAAGATTTATGCAACTTAATGTCTTAAAATTAGTCGTAGATCTCAATGACATGCTGAAGGAGGATGGATATGTTCCTTCTGAACCATTGGAAAAGTAGTGTGCGGTCTCGTAGGCATCCAGCAGCCATGGAGGCATTTGATGGTTAGGACAAGCAACATGGAAGAGAGGGATTTTGCTGCTAGGTCCAGTTTTACAGGTGATTCACAGGTGAATCCCAGATTTTTGAATGCAGGATTCTACATTGTCCTACTGGAATAAACGTAAGCATTTAACTGCAAGTTTCCCTGGGTTAGTTGAGATAGATTTGAGCACTGCAGACAGTACGTGATATCTCAGTCTTACTCCAGATGCTGCAAGAGCTGCAGGCCTAAATCCTTTTACTTGCCAGCACTAGTCTGTCACTCCCTGTGTGTAAGTTTTTTTACCAATCTGTTTGTTGCAGTGACTTACTGCTTACTTCAACTATCATGCCCAACTTTCTTATCACAGATCTAAACCAAATAACAGTTAAGTATTTAATGCTCAAGTCAAGTTTACTCCTGTAAGTCCCTTATCAAATAACCATCATACTCTTAGATTCTCTCAGCAGGTTTAGAAAATAAAACATTTCTTTTCTTTTCTGTTGGATATAGGAGTGATGTGGGAACCACCTGTTCTGCGTGAAGGACAAGAAATAAAATACTTGATAAAGGGAAGAAACAAAACATCTGATAAATGGAAGCCATGAAGATATCAAAACGGTTCTTTGCTTTTGGGATTTTGGCATGCATAGCTATTTATGTTGCTTACATAAAATGGCACTTGGATTCCAAACCAGTCATGGGAGCAACAGAAGGAGTTGCTGAAAGCAGGGGAGACAAACTGAACCGTCAAGCAGTGACCACAGATCTCTCGGTCTTTTATGGAATTATGTTTGACGCAGGAAGCACAGGAACTCGCATCCATATTTTTAAATTTACACAGCAGCCAAAAGGTATGGCCTGCTCATTGCATGATAGATTAATTCTTCCCTAATGTATGGAGCAGAATATTGATGATTCTTTTCTACGGGTTACTTGAACAAACATGCTTCAGCTCTTCCCAGAGAGCCATCAGGAGGTATATTATGATTGAAGCATGTGGGTTTGGATGAAGTTATGAAAACATTCAATAAGGAGAAAATGCTGTAATGTCAGAATGTGAACTAAATAGCAGCTGTACATGTAGAACAGTGCCTTGAAGAAGAGCAATTTTTCATCACACTGCTTGGTGGAAGAGCGAATTCAAACTACCTTATTCTCCTAAATTTTCACCATGAGGTTGCTGGCTGTCTCCCATTCCTGGCAGTGAGCAGCTCCTCTCTGTGTTGCCTGGTTTAGCGCATCCTTGGCTTCAGTGTTGGATTTAAATTGCAGAACTTCACTGTTTGATTAAAATTGCTGTGTATTGCATGTGGACAGAAAGTATTGCTAAGAAGCAAGACAGAAGTGTACAGAAAAGCTCCAGTTTTCCTCTGGAGTCGTAAGCTTCATTTGTTTAGCTCCTATTTGTGAAACTCTTAAAGATGAAAAAACCTGTGTGGATGCTGTTAGTAGGTGATATGAGGATGCCTTTAAGGATTAGCAGTGTGGTGTACGGTGTGATTGGCCTGTGGGGAGCACCTTAGGTTTGCAGAACGGGCTAGCGTAAGGCTTGGCCACCAAAGGCGTTAAACAGCAGTCCGTGGATTTCCTTCTTTCAGTGTATTCCTGAATCTTTGCTTTCTTCCTTGTCTGCTTCTCTTTAAACACAATTTCAGAATGTATTGCAGGAAACTTTATGGAGTGTAGTTGGGTACAGGAGGAGGATGTTGTCAAGCTCATGTTGTCTTGCCTGCAAGTTCATGTAATTGTCTATACTGCAGGTTTCCAAAATACTTAGGTCTGGCTCCCTCTGCTGCCATTGAAAATGGTGGTAGAGCTTCCACTGAGTTTTGCTGGAGTCAAGTTTAGCCAGAACAGAGCATGCTGAAACGTGGGGTCTTTGTTACCGGTGCAGTTTGGAAAGCTGCACATGGCAGGTGTAAGGGCTCAGAGAGAACTTGCACCCATCTGGTGATTGTCTGATGTGCATGAAAAATATGTGCATAGTGGACACCAGCACCTGAAAAACAGTCATGACTTAAAAATGGTTTTCTTGGGAGCTAATTCCATAGCAAGGTATGTATTTGAAGGTTGGGTGGCTGTTGATAGTTCATTAGACAGAGGCTTCAGTTGTCTTCCATTAGTGCATAATGATTTAATTTGTAAAATAGTTTTCTTTTTGTGTATGCAAAATTATTTGTACCATTACTTATTTTGGAATACTGCTTTTGAACAGAGACTCCCAAATTAACCCATGAGACGTTTAAAGCACTGAAGCCAGGTCTATCCGCATATGCCGATGATGTCGAAAAGGTAATTTTGTTTCTGTTACTGTAAAAGTACGTGCCCCAAAACCTCCTGTTCTTGATATGCCCTGCAAATCACGTCTTGCTGTGGTACAGTATGCTGAACTGTGTCAGTTCAGGGAAATGTCTCCAAATGATACAAGCCCATAGTAAAAGTTGGTCAGCTTGCAGAGGAGCAAGGAACAGAACACATCTAGTTCCACTCGGTGATTTGTTAGTTAAGCACAGTGGATGTTTTTCCTATCTCTGCCTTAATTTCTTAATTTTTAAGAATTTTAATGTGCTTAAGAAAATTCAAGAAGAGCTGTGTTGGATTGGAGCAGAGCCTTCTCCAAAAGTGACCGGAATTGGATTCTCAGGAAAAAAGTCTAAAAAACAGGCCAAGTACTAAGTGACTTCCCTCCTGTCTCCCTTACCTTCTGGCTCGCAGGGATTTAGGGACTTCCTAAGCCAGATTTATACCCAGCTCATAGTGTTTTACTGGCTCCAAAGGCCTTTTTTTTCCAAGGATTTGTCATACTGCCTTTTGAACCTTTTGTAGCTGAAACGTTCAGTGGCAGAGAGTTCTGTGTCACTGTTTGACAAAGTGACTCTTCCTGTTTGTTTTTGACCTGTTGCTGGATAATCCCCATTATATCCACCAGGTCTCACACTGTGGGAGATAGCGAATCCTCCACCTTCTCCTGACTCCTTGTGATATTCACTTGTCTCTGTTCCACATTTACAGTGAATCATACCTCTGATCACCCTTTTGCCCTTCCAACAAAGGCAAACCTAAAGAGTTTCTAAGATGCCTTTTTTTGTTCTTTCTCTGCTCACAGAGTGGCCAGGGAATAAAAGAGCTCCTGGAGGTGGCGAAGAAGGAAGTTCCTATGGAGCTGTGGAAGTTTACTCCTCTGGTCCTGAAAGCCACCGCTGGCCTGCGGTTGTTGCCAGGAGAGAAAGCTCAGAAGTTGCTGGCTAAGGTACTATTTCTTGTCCCTCAGTTTGCTTTCCAGAAATTTTATAGCAAAATTTGGTCCTTTCTGTGTAAGGTACATACTCTTTTATTTTCATGTACATAAGCCATTGCTATCGTTTAACCCTGAAAGCAGTGCAGAGCTACCTGATCTCAAACAGGGTTGGGGGGAAAAATTGTGTGAGTACAAGCACAGAGGAAAGATGACAGCTCCGAATAAGTCTGGAGATGACATATAACTTAACAAGTGTTGTGAGATACTCCTAACAGTCACCCCAGGCTTGTTCTTACTGGATGTGTTTGTTGGTGGTTTTCACCAGGATGCTGCTATTTTGAGAAAAGCTTTCTCCTATTTGATTGGTCATGTTATCAGCCTGCTGCTGCAAGGTTGCTCCTTTATATTGATTGGAATAATGTAAATAGTATTTATAGGCATGTAAAATATGTTTAATATTTTAAAATGTTATAAAAATAAACAAAATATTATGTTCTAGACCTTACGGCCGCAGGAAAAGTTTATTAAGTGTGCACTAAGTGTACTCTTTTTCTAAGCAATAATTGGAAGGAAGAAATGTGGTGCGGTTGAAACCAATGTCTGTATTGTTGTCTGCTGCCTGCAAGGTGGCCCGTTCTTTTCCACACTGAATTTCAGCTGGAACTGCTGCAGTTACTTTAGAGGACTCTGAAAACCTAGGGCTTTGCTCCCTCATGTAGGATGTAGTGTAGAGGACCTCTAGCAGCCAGCATGCTCCTGTTAAAAATGCCATT